ATGTGTTATATCAATGCCCTTCGCCAGCCGTAAGAGCACCTCTAACTTGTACCTGGAGGTGGTTCCAGGCAGGCATGATTGTGGACACTCCAGTGTAGCACAGGAGGCTGCCCTGTGGCCATCACAGCTTCCTTGCCGCTCACAGGAGGCCCTGTGGGAGTCAGGCAGCATTATGACTCTGATGGTGAATAAAGAAATAATTACGACTGTGTTTAGTAAGTAAAGTCTTGAGAGCTATTACCCACTCTTCATATATCTTAATGTATGGTATATTTCTAGGATTTGGATGCATATCAAGATGCTCTGAAGAACAGTGACAGCCCTTCGGGGGATAGCCGCTTCAACATCATGACCAAGGACAAAGAGCCCATTGTCAGGAGCTTTCATTTTGTTTGCATGATAACCTTAATATTTGGAACCATAATCCAGTTCTCTGCTGAAAGTGAATTTGCAGTAAATGAGTCAAACAAAGGCCTTGCTCATGTTCCAAAAGGCCTGCCACCCAAAACCATAGTCTTAGATATGTCTCAAAACTACATATCTGAGCTTCACCTCTCTGACATCAGCTTTCTTTCGGGACTCAGAGTTTTGAGGCTTTCCCATAATAGACTCCAGTACCTTGATATTAGTATTTTCAAGTTCAACCAGGATTTGGAATACTTGGATTTATCGCACAATCAGTTGCAGAAGCTATCCTGCCATGCTGTCACCAGTCTCAAGCATTTAGACCTTTCATTCAATGACTTTGATGCCCTGCCCATCTGTGAGGAATTTGGCAACTTGACTCAACTGACTTTCTTGGGATTAAGTGCTAAACATTTACAACAATTAGATCTGCTACCGGTTGCCCACTTGCATCTAACTGGCATCCTTCTGGAGTTGGAAGGTTATTATGTGAAAGAACATGAGACAGAAAGTCTTCAAATTCTGAATACAAAAACACTTCACCTCGTTTTTCACCCAAATAATTTCTTCTCTGTACAAGCAAACATATCAGTTAGTAATGTAGGGTGTTTACAACTGAGTAATATTAGACTGAAGGATGAGAACTGTCATGTTTTAATTACATTTTTATCAGAACTAACTAGAGGTCCAAACTTATTAAATATTACCTTCAACCATGTGGAAACAACTTGGAAATGTTTGGTTAGAGTTTTTCAATTCCTTTGGCCCAAACCTGTAGAATATCTCAATATTTACAATGCAACAATAGTTGAAAAGATTGATAAAGAAGATTTTACGTATTCTGAAACATCATTGAAAGGGTTGAAAATTGAACATATTACAAACAAAGTTTTTCTTTTTTCACAGACAGTATTATACACATTGCTTTCTGAGATGAACATTATGATGTTAACCATATCAGATACACCTTTTATACACATGCTTTGTCCTCAAGCACCAAGCACATTTAAGTTTTTAAACTTTACCCAGAATGTTTTCACAGATAGTATTTTCCAAGAATGCTCCACTTTAGTTAGATTGGAGACACTGATCTTACAAAAGAATGAATTAAAAGACCTTTTCAAAGTAGGTCTCATGACTAAGGATATGCCATCTTTGGAAATGCTGGATGTGAGCTGGAATTCTTTGGAATATGATGGACGCAACAGAAATTGCACTTGGGCTGAGCATATAGAGGTGTTAAATTTGTCTTCAAATATACTCACTGACTCTGTTTTCAGATGTTTACCTCCCAGGCTCAGGGTTCTTGATCTTCACAGTAATAGAATAACAAGTATCCCTGAAAATGTCATCCGTCTGGAAGTGTTGCAAGAACTCAATGTTGCTTCCAATTCTTTAGCCCACCTTCCTGGATGTGATTCCTTCAGCAGCCTCTCTGTACTGATCATTGACTATAATTCAATTTCCAACCCATCAGCTCATTTCTTCCAGAGCTGCCAGAAGATTAGGTCCATAAATGCAGGAATCAGGATGGGGGGGCAGTGGACCCAGACCCGACACAGGGCCAGGAACACATCTTTACACGAACTCCAAAGAACTCTTCAGTTTCATGCCTTTATTTCGTACAGTGAACACGATTCTGCCTGGGTGAAGAATGAATTACTACCAAACCTAGAAAAAGAAGATATACGGATTTGTCTGCATGAGAGAAACTTTGTTCCTGGCAAGAGCATTGTGGAAAATATCATAAACTGTATTGAGAAAAGTTACAAGTCCATCTTTGTTTTGTCTCCCAACTTCGTTCAGAGCGAGTGGTGCCATTATGAACTCTACTTTGCCCACCACAATCTCTTTCATGAAGGATCTAATAACTTAATTCTGATCTTGCTGGACCCCATTCCACAGAACAGCATTCCCAGCAAGTATCACAAGCTGAAGGCCCTCATGGCACAACGAACTTATTTGGAATGGCCGAAGGAGAAGAGCAAACATGGACTTTTTTGGGCTAACATCAGAGCTGCTTTTAATGTGAAATTAACACTAACCACTGAAAACAATGACGTGAAAACTTAAAAAAAAAAAAGGCCAGGAAACCTAACTTAGGAAACCATCATAAACATGGGTCCTATGAACACCCTGGTATTAAGTTATTAGGTGCTCGCATCATCTCTATGTGTTCAAGAAAGACTTCACGCCCGGCTGATGTGGCTCAGCGGTTGAGCATAGACCTATGAGCCAGGAGGTCACAGTTCGGTTCCCAGTCAGGGCACATGCTCGAGTTGCAGACTTGATCCCCAGTAGGGGGTATGTAGGAGGCAGGTGATCAATGATTCTCTCATCATTGCTGTTTCTCTCCCTCTCCCTTCCTCTCTGAAATCAATAAAAATATAGTTAAAAAAAGAAAAGAAAGACTTAACAACAGCCATGTTTCAATTGAGTTGGGGAGCAGGCTGGGGCTGAGGTGGTGCTCAAACCTGCTGATTATGATGCCAGATAGCTCAGTCTCCTCTGGTTTAACCGTTGTGTTACAAATCAAAACAGTCTCATTTAAGTAAATGCTCAGTCATTCAAGGATCTTTCCTTTCCTCCCTCTGTCAAATGGATTCTGTGTGAGCAGGAGTTTATAGAACTTCCTGGCAGCATGGAATGAGTCAACCTCACAGTGGTATGCAGTGGTCCTTGGGGTGCCCTGTGCATGCTCATTGGCTTCTGGGTGAACTTTGTTTTCCTGTTCAACTTTAGAACTTGAAAAAAATTATGCTGGTTATGGAAAATAGAGACACCATTTTCATCACATCTGAATAATCATTTGTTAAATTTTTGACCTAGCTACACAGATATGCAGTAGTTTGTGTATATAAAGGGAACTATAGCCTTAGTCATAGGCTGTTGAGGCTAAAGACATGGGTTTACCTGCTTGCCAAAAAAACTCAGAGCCAGATTTATTTGTAACTGTTAATTGCATAGGACATTTTGGTGCTTTAAAATTTTGGAGAATGCTTCAAAGCTTACAAAAAGTACTTTTTAAACAGAAACAGCTCTACCCTTACAACCTCACATAATCTTAATTACCTCTTTAAAGTCTCTATCTCCAAATATAGTCATACTGGAGGCCCGATGCACAAAAATTCATGCAAAAGTAGGCCTTCCTTCCCCCGGCTGCTGGCACCAGCTTCCCTCTGGCACCTGGGACCTGGGCTTCACTCTGGCCCTGACTTCGTCTGGAAGGATGTCTGGAATGACACCTGGAAGGACGTTTAGTCTAATTAGCATATTACCCTTTTATTATTATAGATTCTAAGGAACCAAGGGGTTAGGGCTTCAACATATAAATTCTGGAGAGGACACAATTCAGTCCATAACAGATGACTATGCAGATAAATTGAAAAATGGTGATTTTTAGTTGTCACCAGTATCCATTCTCCCTTTATTCATTAAATATATTTTTATTGTTGATAGTATTACATATATCTCCCATCCCCCCTTCCTCCCCTCCTCCCAGCCCTTACTACCCTATTGCTCATGTCCATGGGCTATGCATATCTATACTAATAAAAGGGTAATATGCTAATTAGACCGGATGTCTTCTGGACATCCTTCCAGACAAAGTCACAGTGGCGGGGGCCGAGTCAGAGGTGGTTAGGGGCAATCAGTCTGGCAGGTTCATCTCCCCAACCCCACATTGAGGTATGTCAGTCTGTTCCATACCTCCATGCTCCGGGGTTTATTTTGTTGGTCAATTCGTTTTGTTTATTAGATTCCACAAATAAGTGAGATCATGTGATATTTGTTTTTCTCAGTTTGGCTTATTTCACTTAGCATAATATTTTCCAGGTCCATCCATGCTGTCCCAAAGGGTGAGAGATCCCTCTTTTTTACAGCTGCATAGTATTCCATAGTGTAAATGTCCCACCGCTTTTTTATCCATTCATCTACTGATGGGCACTTTGGCTGTATTCTCCCTTATTTAATACTAGAATGTGTGAGCTTTATCAGGGCAACGCAGCTAGAGATGACATTTCCCAGCCTCCCTTGCCGCTTGACGTGGACACGTGACTAAATTCTGGGCATTGAGATATAGCTGGAAGCTAAGTGCCATGCGGGCTCACATCTCTAAGAAAGACGGGTCCTGTCTTTCCTCTGGAAAAGAGGTAAGAATTGGAGGAACTGTTTGTACCTGGAGATGAAAGCCACATGTTGACAACATGCTCTCATCCTGCCATTTTGTTTGGCTCAAGTCAGCCTCTCAGCATGTCCTGGACTGCTCGTCTCTCATGTGAGAGAAAAGTAAACTTCCACCTTGTTTAAACCACGCCACTTTTGGATCCTGTTGATACAGCATCTTCATCAGCACCCCCATGAGTGCAGACATTTATAACCTGCAGACTGTGGTACCGCCTTTGAATATTTCCTGACTATGTACAGGAGAAGAAAGTGAGCATGTTTCCCGTGCAACCTGGAGCAGAGCATCTGCCATCCTGACCAAGCCACCAATATCTCTCACCTGTATGAGGGCAACAACCTCCCAACCAGCCTCCTTGCTTTTACTCCTGCCTCACACATTCTCCAAATAGCAATTGGAGTGATGGCTTTTACGGTGTAAAGTCTATTAGGCCATTCCCCTGCTTACGACCTGCTAATGACCTCCCCCTGCAGGTAGAACAAAGGTCAAGCTCCTCATCATGACCTGCTGCCAAGGTCTGGGTCTGCCTTCCTTCCCCTCTGCACCTCCCTCTGCATCTCCTGGTGCTCTCCCCCAGGCCCAGCACATGTCAGCCACCATGGCCTTTGGCTGTTCCCTGGATGCGCCACATGGATTCCCATCTCTGCCTCTCTGCCCCTGGTACTTGCCACTGGGATCAGTCTTTCCCGGGGGCTTGCTTAACTTGTTCTTGACCTTTGTGTCTCAGCTCAAATGTCACCTTCTCAGAGGGGCCTCCCCATGATTCCCAATCACTCTCTGTCACGTTGCTCCCCTTGGTTTTCTTTACAGCAGACGTCACTCTCTGAAATTATCTGGTTGACTTGTTTTCTGTTTTTCCTCCACTAAAATATAAGCTCCAGGAGAACAGCAACCTTCCGTACCTTGTCCACTGCTTGGGCCCAGTGCTGACAACAGTGTATTGTAGATACTCAGTAAAAACTTGTTGGATGAATACATAGCTCTGAGTGGCCACAAGCATCAAATGCCTTTGAAGTTTTCATTTTTATCTTTATTTTAAATGCCCCATACAAATAGGGCACCCCCCCCATCATTCATGTTAGTATGGAGCCTTCACATGCCCCCAATTCCCTGCCACAGTTCAAAAAGTTTGCATTAATACATTTTCAGATATTAACACTTTGATGATAATAAAAAATAGGTTCCTTAATAAGGTGACAGCTTAGAAGGAATGGGATATGGTAAAGAGGATGAGGGAGGGCTGCTAGGATGAAGCCTGATGAAAGGCCTTTGAACAACCCCAGGGCAGCGTGAGGGTCCTGGGCCTGTGACTGGGAAGGCCCTTCAAAGGGCAGGCACAGTGGGTGCTGAAAGGGTTCAAGAGAATAAACCAGAGCAGAGAAAACTTACTGCGCTTAGCAGATATCTTGCAGAGAGCTTGCAACCTTGAGCACCACATGGCCCAGATAACCACTAACCATCTGACACTATGAGGAACCAAGGACAGACCAGACCCTTATGTCTGCAGAGTGGCTTGTAGCCAGCAAAGGTAATAAAAACCTGTTTCTCCCTTCTGTCTTGGCTGACTCCATTTTGTGGGACTCAGCCCACCTGCACCCAGGTGCCTGGAATAAAAATCTCTTTTGATACATTATGGCCTCATGTCATAGGTGTGCGACCCCAGCCCACTCTGAATCTTTCATTTAGTGCAGTGGTTCTCAACCTTCCAAATGCTGCAACCCTTTAATACAGTTCCTCATGTTGTGGTGACCCCCAATTTCATTGTTACAAATTGAACATAATCAAAGCATAGTGATTAATCACAAAAACAATATGTAATTATATATGTGTTTTCCGATGATCTTAGGTGACCCCTGTGAAAGGGTCATTTGATCCCCAAAGGGATCGCGACCCACAGGTTGCGAACCACTGATTCACCCAGGGAAGTCTAGTGAGGGGTCCAGTAAGAGCCATTGCAGGGTTCCAGCAACCAGACACTTGGCATTCAGAGAGGCTGTGATTGTCCGGCTCCTGAGCTCCCCGTATGTCTGGGGAAGGCCCCCAGCCGAGCTTCTGCTGAACTTGTGACACTTACTTGGGCCCCCCTAGCCTTCCTCCAGACTGGCCTGGGTTGTGCCTGTGACTGGATAGTGGACCTCTCCTTGCCTTGCCTCCTCCTCTATCAACACGAGGCATAGATCCATAGGTAAGTGGCGTTAGTCTGTTTTCCCATGTCCGGGACTGTCCTGTAATTTTGGGTTTGGAGCCAGGCTCCGGGCTGTTACTGTACAGCCGGCCGCACGAAAATCCAGCACTGGTCTGGACAAGTTCCTGGGGGAACCAGGTTCCCTCGCCCACTCTCCTGACGGGAATGCCTGTCACGGAGGGAGGGCTCTGTCCGTTTCTTGTGAACATTAGGGGAAGACAGGGACGCCTTTCTCAGCCTTAACTTCATGGAGAACAGACCTTAAGCCCTAGCCTGTCACCATGGGAAGCTCACCATCGCCTTTCCCCCACACCACACCCTCGCACAGGACTTTCACGAGTTTGACATGCTTGCCCTAAGTGATTTATTTTTTATTGCAATACTGTCTTGGGGAGACAATGCTAACTTGGGGAGAGAGAATATGAAAAAAGTTGCTTGGAGAGTCAGAAGAGCAAAAAAGGGAGAAATTGGAAAAGAGAATAGAATGATGGGTGTGAGAGAATGGGAGGCAGTGACCAGATGACTGGGATATAAGGTGGGGAGAGTATGAGTTTTAATGAGAAGGTGAAGACAAAAACAATACTAAGAAAGGGGGAAGTCAACTTCTGTCTAGATTTCTGGAGATCGATTTGATTAGAAAGGAATGAGAATAAATTGCAGGCAGGGCTTTCTAAACCCACAAAGACTTTCTGAGGGTTTTTAATTATAGTTATCTGTGAGGAATCTCAACAGAGACAAGTTGAAATATGAAGTTGTTTTTATTTTCCTTCAGTCATTCCATCAACTGGATTCTGAAATTCTCCTGTTCTTATCATAACCTTAATGATATCATGAATAGATTTCATTCCTCTCCAGTTTGTTTGAGTTATTAATCGTGCAATCTGGTTTAGTATGTTTAATCTCCAACTCCACCTAAAGCTCTTTGTCTTTCCCCATATCAGAGGCTAGGCTTGTAGCTCAATCTTGATGTTTATATGGGTGGGATTAGGTGCGGTCAACCTGAGATACACACTCCCTGCTCCTCCCTTTCCCAGATCTAACTTTCTGATGTGGAGAACAGGAATGAGAGGTAGGAAGGCAGATATTCTTTTTGATGATTGTGTTGGTTAAGGTGCAGGATAAGCTGCTGAACAGGGAAACCCCAAAGCACATGGGCTTCAATACAATAGAAATTTCTTTCTTTTTAAAATAATAGGTTAAATATAGTCAGGAGGTCTAAGATAGGTAGCTGCCTATACTCTACAAAGTTACGCAAGGATTCAGGTTGACCAGTTGGCTCTGTTTCTCATAGCTTGTCTTTTCTTCTGATCTCCATTCCCCTTGATATGGAGTGGCAAGAATGAATGGAGTTCTCTTGTACTTTCTCTGAGTACATGGTCCAAAGGTGGAGATATACCACTTTTCCAAGGTACATGACACCACAGTGTCTAAATGCTAATGAGTAAGGGTTACTCTACCAGTCTCTCTACTTACTTATACTTCTGAACTCCCATGGGCACATGTAATGTTCTCTAAGACGGCTCAGAGAGGGACCACTTTCAGCAGAAGTAGGTGTCCTGCACATTTCTGCATCAAAACAAGCATCCATTTAAGGATAGAGGTGTCTATGCTCCCTGTCCAGTCACAGTGAGTGATTCTATTGGCATTCTCTCATCACTTGGTTTGGGAAGGAAGGGATGCCACCTCTCCCATTGGCAGAAGAGGGCACAGTCTTACATCACAAACACGGTAGGTATCCAAAGCTGCTGACACTGCCACTGCCCTCCCCAGCATTCTTAGGTGGCTGGAAAATGTGAGGGTGGAGGTGGTGGCGGGGATGGCACTGTCTGGTTTCATGGCTTTTTAGAATGCGCTAAGGGAAGAGCTTGGTCCCAATTGCTGGCAGCTGCCTTAGAATATGAGGTATATAACACTTCCCTGTTCTTGGTTTTGGACCCAAGTCATAGGGAAAGTTCTAGTCAATACCCTATTATGTAATCAGAACCAACAGGTGGAAAGGGAAATGGAAATTGTAAGCTATTGAATTACATGATTGATGAGCAACATAAAAATCTATCCTAGATTTGAATTAAATTTACATAATATAAATTAAAAATTTATGATAAGCTCTGGTCAGATAGCTTAGTTAGTTAGAGCCTCCAATACACCAAGGTTGTGGGTTCAATTCCTGGTCAGGGCACATATGAGAATCAACCAATGAATGCATAAATAAGTGGAATAACAAATTGCTGTTTCTCTCTCTCTCTCTCTCTCTCTCTCTCTCTCTCTTCCTCTTTCTCTTTCTCAAATCAATAAATAAAATTTTAACTATATATATGCTATATAGTAACAGAAGAAAAGGCAGAGAATAATGGTATAGATTTATGTTTATTGGTTCACAAAGTCCACTTAATGAAACATAGCCTAAGGAAATAATTTTTCACACACATTCTAAGGAAATACATGGACATGTTTCTTTTTGCAGTGATTATAATAACAAAAATTGAGAACAACCTAAATACCCAACAACACAAGACTGGTTAAATGCACTTGTTAAAATACTTAAAAAATACCTTATAAGTAAAATGGAATATTTATTCAGCCAGTAATAAAAGTTGTAGATGAATATTTACTGACATGAAAAGATATTTATGATGTTTTATAGATTAAGAAAAGCAGATTGCAAAACAGTATATATGGTATAATGCTGTGTGTGTGTGTGTGTGTGTGTGTGTGTGTAAATTGGTACACACTCTCTGATCAGCAATTTGGCAGGAAGCGAAAAGAGCCTAGCCTACATGGAGAAGTCTGCATGGTTGCTACAAAAATGATATTGATATCTCTATATGGTGATATCTCTATATATTATTGATTTGATACTTTTTTCTTCTAATTTATTTATATTTTCTGATTTTTCCTCAGTAAACACATTACTTGGATAATAAAAAATTAAAATAACTAAAAAGTATGTCTGGGAAGAAAACATGCATATGTTTCTTTGACCTTGTTATAGTTATGAACTTTCTAAACTTAAAAGCAATGTAGCAGAGGTCTGCTGGAGCTGGTTTGTATAGATTTGTGAGTTGTCAGTTGTCAAATATTCAAGGATTTTGCAAGCAAGCCAGTTGGTAGCTAGAAATCAGCTTCAGTGGAAATATATACATGGCAGATATCGGTATGTGCTACAAATCAGGCTTTCTCTTTTGTAACCTGGTTTACCAGCATACAACTAAATAGTAGTATTAGAAAAAAAGGTCAATTTACTTGTTTATATCAAAATTCATGCATTTATTGGTTCAAAAGATCATGAAATGAAAAAGAAGATGATGGGAGATATTTGCACAAAGTTTGCCAGAGAGTTCATGTCAGTGACATAAAAGAGAACATATGATTGATCAGTAAAAACATAACCCCGGTAGAGAAATAGGCAAATAATGTGAACAGGTAATTCACTAAAGGATATAAATTGCCAATAAACTTGAAAAACTATCCAAGAAATTTATAATAAATGAAAACTAAACAATAAGGAGATATCACCTTTCATCTATGAAATCGACCAGTCCCAAGGTTCTTAGTTTAGGGAAGTTGGTAATGCTCATTGTGGTAGAAAAGGTGATTACAGCAAAGAATTGTGCCCAGTTTGTGACTGGACATCATGCAATACTAGGATGAAGGCAAGTTCAGAGAAATCCAGCTAACATTTCTTAGCTTTAGTTGACCATTTTTGCTGTTATTTTGTTTTTACTTTAAAGACAAGAATGGAGCTATCAGATTGGATCCTTGAGTGTGCTGACAACCCAAAGCAAGGGTTTTAAACATTATTTGAGAAAAGAGATTGTTAGATATCATGTTTTTCACATGGAAATTTTTAAAAATCACTTTTTGAAGAAAGTTTGAACATATCAATGGAAAAGAATTTGAGCACTAGATTCTCTGAAAACCAATTTGTCAAAAAAGACACAATTAGCACTCATTTTATATTAGCCCATGAATGTTCTTTCCCTTTATGAATGAGTTTAAGCAAAACTTTGACCTTGACTCCAACCTCTTTCCACTTTCTTTTAATAGTGGACCAATCAGAAGGCAAGAAGAAAAGCAAAGCACCCGAAATACACCCAGACTGGCACTCCTACCCTCACCAGCTGGCTACAAAGATAAGTATTTTGGATTCAGCCAATAATGATCTGTGGATTATTAACGCCACCTCCTTCATTTTAATGGTGAGTTGATTGTAGTGAAATAGAGCCACAAAGATGTGATTCTATTTTAATACTGGTCTATCAATTAACCCACAGTCCATATTCCACGTGTGAATAGGAGAACAAGGGTTTACACTTACTGTGTAATGTAATTTCAGTGTGATTCAATAGATGGCGCAACAGAGCTCTGCCTCCAACATTAAATCCGGTCGGTGACTAGTGAAATAAATATTTGAGGAAGTACTTGAATTTCCTTCAGAGTGACAACAAGATAGACGGGCAGATTGCTTTGGTAAGTGATACATTTTCTTTTAATTCTATAAAATAAAATAATGACATAACCAGTTATGGAACACCAAAATCTCAGGCTCTATGACGAAGTCCTGGGTGTTTATCTAAGTGCGTTATTTCTGATATGTACTTACTGTGGTTTGAACGAGCATTTGTTATTCAGTTCCTTATCCTAAGTCAGAGAAAGGGTTTTTGTATGTATGTATGTTTGCTTTTTCTTGAATAAGATCTCAGCTCAAGCATGACTTGCTTGCCAAAGATATATTTGAGTTGGAAGATGAGGGTTTGGGTCACACACATTTTCTCATGGCTTTCTTACGGAGCTGCTAGTTGTGGACTTCAGGTGACCCTGCTCTTTATCCCGTCCCTCTCCACCCACCTCCTGCAATGAGAATGCTGCGGAAAAGGGGACGGAGAGGAAGTACTCCTGGAGGCTGTGCTGCCGTACTGTATTTTAGTTTGCTCTCTGGGCTGTTCCCACAAGCTATTCTTTTCTAGTTACTCAGACCACAGAAGCTGTCCCGCGGTGCTCCTCGTCAGGTGGCATTGTAGGTTTCAAAAATGTGTCCCAGGCTTCACCCAATTTGATCAAAAGAGATGAAAGTGAAAAAAGCAAAAGTTCACAATACCACAGAGGAAACAAAGCAGAAGAGCCTTTGAACTGGCTCTGGCTCTTTTAACCTGTGGTTACTGCCTTGTTGGTCTGGTGCAGAGAAGACTGACTCAGTATTTGCGAACTGAACTCAATGGGCTAGGTGAACGCTGGGGGTATCATCTGTTAAGACAAGTCAACGTCCTGATTTGATGCCCCCAAAGTCTCCAAACAAAGGCAATTCAAATGTATTGCTGCATCATATCGTATAGTGGGAGGCTAAACTTACCACAATCACGTAAGTTGATGTAGATAGATCTTACTTTTATACTTTCAAAGTGAAGCATCCTTTTACTAATCAACTTAGCAAATAACTATTCTATTTGGTAGTAAACTAGTTTTGGGACTCTAATATATAGGAGATTCAGTGCTGGTTATTAGGACTTTGATTAAAAAATATTGATTTTTCGCTGATTTAGCTAGTTTGGTATATAAAATAGAAAGATCCTGTAAGTACCCCAGACTCAGTTGCTCATCTGTACAATACTTTGCCTCTTTAATTACAGTAATAAAGATGGTTTCACCAACTGAGTACTTCAAATTAGTGATTATAATTGGAAAGGCAAAATGGAAGTTGGGCAAATAGGAGATAGCGGAGTCAATTAATTTTGCTAGATATAAAGCTGAAGCCATGCTCTCATTAAATGCTTGGGGATAGACAGTCATATAAATGTAAATCTTTATGGTGATTACTGTTGTTAATGAAATGAGGCCACTTCTGGTCTTGCTTGTGGTGGGTCCACTGCTCACGAAGCCCTCCTGTCCATGCATGGGGTTCTGTCTCTGACCCTCATCTCTCCGGTCACTTTCTGTATATCATGCCCAACTATACTCTTCACTGCTTCTTTGAGCTGTAGAGTTGGCCAGAAGGTAGAAAGAGCCCAGATTTGAATTCAGGCTTAAGAATAAGTAAGGGCCCCACTCGAGCCTTAAACCCAAAGCACTTTTACTTCGACTTACTTTTACCAGATAGTTCTGTTTTGAAATATTAGGCACTGGCCCAGGCAATATCAAGTCTCATTTTGATGCTCATTTAAGTACTTCTTTTCATGTGAGTAGCTCTTTCAGGAAGCTGGGAGGAAGAATGGGGAAATTTCTGGGACTTTCAGACAAATATAACCAACACCATAAAAATGCAATGTTTACTTTTAACATGCATTTTAATGTGTGTATTCCCTTCCTTGCACAGAGTCTCCATGAGTAGTGATGGAGCGGATGGTACCATGCCTTCTCCTATATTAGGAGAAATCAGGATAACACGGGAGCATTGAGCACCTCTACAAAAAGGTAAGTCCTGCCGAAACCGGTTTGGCTCGGTGGATAGAGCGTCGGCCTGCGGACTGAAGGGTCCCAGGTTCGATTCCGGTTAAGGGTATGTACCTGGGTTGTGGGCACATCCCCCGTGGGAGATGTGCAGGAGGCAGCTGGTTGATGTTTCATCGATGTTTCTAACTCTCTATCTCTCTCCCTTCCTCTCTGTAAAAAATCAATAAAATATATTTAAAAAAAAAAAAAAGGTAAGTCCAAGCAATGTTTCAAAACCAGATGCATCTGCACATCTAACTTGGGGAGCGTTTGTAATGCAGGGTTGTATCTGGGACTTGATATAACCTTTGGTGCTCATGGGGGATGGTACCAAAATCATTGGATGCTTAAGTCTCCTATATAGAACTAGAGGCCCAGGAGAAACTAAGATGGCGGCATAGATAAACACCGGGAAATTGCTGCCTCCCACAAGAATTGAAAAATACAACAAAAAGACAAAACGGACATCATCCAGAACTACAGGAAGGCTGGCGGAGTGTAAATTCTACAACTAGAAGGAAAGAAAAGCACACTGAGAGCCAGAGGAGCTGTGGTAGTAAAGTGCAGAGGTACGGAAGCTCGCGCATGGAAAGGAGATGGCACCTGAGGACGCGGCTGTCTTTTTGAATTGGGAGGGAGTCACAGACTCCCGACTGCTCTGAACTCTGGTTCCAGGTTTGG